TGACAAACTTCCAGTGATGCTCAGTAAGATGTTAATTAAAATTTCTACTATAACTAATTGTATTCATGTCTGTGTTATGCCTTGCCAGACTAAGAACTCAGGCCTTACATTTTCATCACACACACACACAAAAATATATGCCACAAAGACGTCCTGCCTCCTAACTACACTGTTCTTTGTTCCTCTGAATATGCCCTAATGCCATCCATACTTTAGCTCAGATCATTCCTCACTCAGGCCTCATCTCCTCTGTCACGTCTTCTGAAACCACTTAAGCCACAGCTGATTATTTCTCAAAAACTACTGAAAATATTGCAGTACATACATTGTGTGAACAATTCTTTGGTGCATGTCATGTTTTCCTGGGTGGAACACAACTGTCCCAGAGAATTCACTCAACATCAAAGATGATACCAACCTCTTGATTTAAACTCACCGGCATGGTGTCTTTTTTTTCCGTAACTGCTACTCATTACACTGACAAGCTAAAATGCAATATACAACTGAGCAACATCCTGACAAAGAGCTGCCAGTAATAGATTTGACTAACCAGCTCTGGCACAGATTCTTAACAGGGTCATTTGGTACAGTATCTGTGCTTTCTCCCGACGACAAAAGAAAACCGTTGCTCATGGAAGAACAAGAACTGCACTCCGCAGTCCTTAGATGAGGCAGCAACTGCCTCTCATTTCAGGGTGAGGGCAACAGTGCTGGTGTGAAACCAAAGCCCTGGTACCGGTGATGCACAAGGTCGCACACAAGTCCAGTGTGGCACCTGCTCTGAAGCCTGGTGGAGAAGCCTGTCCTAAGCTTCTCTCTGATAACCACTGGGGGGAGGGGGGAGCTGTGCAAACTATTCTTTAACTTAAGCATGCCTACTGTGGAAAATCCCACAAATCTCTAAGCATGCTCTAAAATGGCTCACGATGGAACTGGACGTTCAGAGAAGAAACTGGGGAAGGGAACTGCTTTTCCCCATTCTTCTTCCTCCACCCACCTCTCAGAGTGCCCAGTTCTCTCAAGGCCTGGTTTCCACTCTACAGTCTTCGTTTGTTACTTTCATTTGCTGCCTACACCATCTACTAGTACTTACAGATGAGTACTTCCCAAACCCAGTCTCTACCTATGCCCCATGGTCACCTTAAAAAGCTTACCACCACCTCATCATTTACCTTTCCATTTCTGTCAACCTAGTTTTCCCAATTCTCCTTCCTAGACACCATACTTCCTGTTTCCCCACACATCACTGTTGACACTTGGGATCTCTAAGTCTTTTGATTCTCACCTTTGTCACTAAAAAAATTGAGTATGCAGGTGTCCGTTATTTACAAATTAAAACACATATACTTCTATAGCAAGACATTATAAATCATAAAAACTGTGAACTTTAAAAGGAATAAACATAACAGCAAGTCTAAAATTTTCTTTCTTACATTCCAGTGAGTCATTTCATATAGCCCTGGGGACAGGAACCTACTCTTTGAAGCACTGCTATAACAAGACTATTCTTGTAGGTAAGAAATATATGAATACATTATCTGTATGCATACATATATGCATAATATAAAAATATTCAGTCTAATGTAAATATATAATATGTACATGAATGTGTGTATACACAGATATGAACACATCTGCCTAATATGTATATAGATTTGAAGGAGGCTCTTCTCTCAAATACACATCTCATGATGATATACAGGCAGATGTACTGCTAAAGATGTTATTCTTATCTTCTAAAGCCACACACCAAAAATAAATTTTCCAAACAATGAGAAATTTACAGTACTGTTTGGTTCTTTCTGCCCGTTCTTACCTACTTATTGAACTCCTCTAAGCTGCCAGTGTTCCAAGTTCTGTGGCCTGTACCTCCTTTAACCTCACCGTACTTCAGCATCCCACAGCTGGAGACAGGGCCAATACTTCAGAATCCACAAGACTCACCTCCTTTTTCTTTCCTCTCTCACCCTCCCCTCCTGCTCCCTCCTACTTACTCCACATAAGATAAACCGAAGATCTGAAAACCTATAACCAAAGCCACAATAAAGACTAATATAATAGAAAACACTAATATAATCAACTCTCATACTCATCCATTTGCAAGTTTTCTTCTATGTATTTACAGAACACAAGCCTCTAGGACCTCATCCACAATGAATCCTCAGATACACTGAGCTGTTACACACACCAAGAACTTCACATTTACATCCTGAGAAGCCATAAATTCCCTGACACCTTCACCAGTTATAAAATGTTTACCTCACTGCCCCAGCAGCACAGCTAGGAGCAACACAGTTCCTTCAAATACTAGTAAAAATATTTTCTTCTGACAACACACTTCAGACAACACACTATTACCGGCAGCTCTTTGTCAGAATGCTTCTCAGGAAGCAAGCATTCTCACTAAATTGATTAATTTTCACTCTTATAGTGAAGAGTGGTGGTGACTAGGGTCCATGGAGCTGGACTTTAGTCAGCATCAACAAAGAACTCTATTTTCATTCGGTGCTGCTGCTCTGGAACAAATTTAAATGAGGCTGATCAGAAAATTAAAAAGGCAACTGCTATTAAAATTACTAAATTCACGGATCTCTGTGAGTTCAAGGCCAGCCTGGTCTACAGAGTGAGTTCCAGGACAGCTGGGGCTACAGGGAGACCCTGTCTCAGAAAGACCAAAAAAAAAAAAAAAAATTACTAAATTCAGTTCTCTCTCAACATTATTGAATCTGTACTTTGCATGTACAGAATGCCGAGGATTGTTTAAGAAACAACGTAGGCAGCAGGCAAAAGTGCTTGCAACACGATCCCTGGAACCTGTCTCCATACATGTGACACATAAATGATAATAAAATAATCAGTGTAGACCTTCAGAGCCTTAAAAAAAAAAATCATCACAGATACTTCAACTGTAGGCTTCTGAGTCAACAGAGAAAAGATGGAATTTGCTTTCTGTTCACATTAAGTATGTTCACTTAGTAACTATCATTCTAATAGCCTCTACTGTCCCCAAACGCCTACAAACAAAATACTGGAGTTTCATCTGTTTTCTATTTATCCCTCTTCATCTTCAGTCATTTAACACTGATCAAAGAATCAAAACTATTTGCAAACATGAACATTACAGTGGAAGTCTTAAGGCAGTCCCTTCCCTCTGGGCCTTGATGTCCATAAATGTACAATAGGTAGCTTCCAAGTAAAATTTCTTAATCCTTTCTATATGGTCAATTATAAAGGGTGTGTGTGTGTGTGTGTGTGATTTAAGAAGTCTAATCAAAATTTATCTAGCATTTATTTTTGTATCATGAAAGTAACAGCCGGGCATAGTGGCACACCCCTTTGATTCCAGCACTTGGGAGGCAGAGGCAGGCGGATCTTTGTTAGTTCAAGGCCAGCCTGGTCTACATACTGAGTTTATGCAAGCTTAGACTGCAGGGAGACCCCCTTTTTTGTCAAAAAGACAAAAAATAAATAAAAGCAATAATAAAACTACACATTTAACGTCCATATGGAATGTAGATCCAAAGAAACCTTACTAATGCTATCAAAACATTCTGAGAAGTTTGGAAATCTTTCTGCTATACTAAGGACCGATAAAAAAGCTTCAGTATAGATGAAGTATTATAGTCTTAAGCTTGCAGTTTGATATTTTACTTGATGTGTCTTATTTTTGTGAGTCTCACTACATTCCATGGCCCAAGGTAGTTGGCCTCGGCTAGGAATCTACTATATTTTACATTTGGACGGTTACTTAGGGTTCAAGCACGGGCTCTGGAGGTAAAGCCCATGAGGTCTCCAAATTGCTTCTACTCCTGGACCTGTTTCCCACAACATCCATGGACTAGTGTCAGAAGGGAGGTTATCACATGTCAGATCATAATGAGAGCCAAGTCTGGCCCTGTCGTTGGTATCACAATTATTAATTACTATTATTAGTGTAGGAATTCATGTGCCGGTTTTACAGATGAGGAAACAGAAATGGGTCACTTAATACTGATTTTCCCACTGCGTATTGGGTTTCGAATGAAAAACCTCAAATTTGGTGAAATAAGAGTTGCGGAGGCAATCGCCATCAGGACGGTCCAGAGCCCGGCATGGCACTACGAGGCATGAGAAAGGGCAGGCGGCGGCACGCCACGAGGCCCGGGACACCCGCGGCCTGGTCTGGGGCCCTGCGCTGCAGGCCAGAGGGGGGGAGAGCGAGGGACCCGCTAGGGGGTGGCGTCCGGGGACACCGGCGGACCGAAACCCGCCCGGGTCGCTGGACTCGGCGGTCCCGGCCCACCCCGCCCCTCCCCGCCGTGACATTCCGGGCCCAAGCCCCTCCCGCGGAGTGACCGGGTCAGCCCCGCCGGAGTCCGGCCGGACGTGGCGGCGCGTCCGGGTCCCGAAAGCCGGATCAAGCCTGCCCGGAATGCCCGCCGCGGCCCGCCCGGCCCAGGCCGCAATGAGACCCGCCCGGTCTGCCCCGGTGGCACGCGTACCCGCGCCCCTACCTTCCCGCCCGGTCGGCCCGCCGCCCGGGCCCCGCCGCGCTCGGTCTCTCGGAGGGCCTCGGCGGGTCTCGGTCTCTCGGAGGGTCTCGGCGGGGCTCGGCCTCTCGGAGGACCTCGGACTGTCTCGGACGACCTCGGCGGGCCTCGGCCTCTCAGAGGGCTTCGGGCGGTGCCGGGGAGGACCGCTCGGGTCTCGCTCCTCGGCGCGGGGGCGGAGACTCAGCCGGCCGTCTCCCTCAGGAAGCCGCCCTGACCCGCCCCCGCCGCGTCGATCCCCCTCGGAGGCGGTGCCGCCCTCTCCCTCCGGAAACGCATTCCTGTGCGCCGCGTCAGCCGTGCCGGCGGGAGGAGGCAGAGAGGTGCAGGAAGGAGGAAGACCGGCTGCGGCAGACAAAGGCGCTTCCTTCGCGAGGGCCTGGCCGCGGGGTTCGCAGAGTCGCAGCGCGTCACGGAGAAGGCTCGGCCGAGGCCCGTCGCCGACTCCGGGGTCCCGGGCTGGCCCGGGCCCGTGGGGAGGCCGGAGAACGCGAGGGAGTCCCTAGCTGCCTCTGGCGTTTGGCCGCCTGGAAGGCTGCGTGTGCCTGGGGTACCTGGGGAGGCGAAGCCTGGCTTTTAGTCCCGTGTCCCATCCTTTTTGGATGGCCAGCCTCTGTCTAGAGGAGCGCACTGAAACCAGGACTCCGGGGCATGCAGAACCCGAGGCCGGCAGGTGCCTCAGCCACACGACGGGCGTGAGCGGCCACCAAGGACCAGGCGCCCTGTTGGCAAGACAGCTCTCCGCCGGGTCTGTGGCCTGAGTGTTTCAGCTGTGGGAAACTCGAAATACGATGCTAAAGTAGAGAATAATTTCACCATGAAAATTGTACACGTTGTCCACTAGCAATGTCAAATGATTTGCTTAACTAATCTAAGAAACGAGCATCATTTTGCTTAATTAATAAATGACAAGTTTACAAGACAGTTCAATGTTCTTGCCCTTAAGAGAACTAACTGGTTTTACCACTTCAGAATTAAGTCAGAATTCACACAATCTCAGCACAGGAAACTATAAGCGTAATGTATCCATGCGTGGCTTGTGCTGCACGTGCTTCTCCAAGTGTGATTTGGGGAGTCAATAACAATCATCACAAGAACCGAAATGGGCTTCACAAAGGCAGCTCTAAAAGAAAATCAAAAGTCCGGTGTGGTGCAGAGGCACTTGGAGCTCTCAGATCGAGGTCAGGCCTGGTGTCCAAATGGAGTTCCAGGCCAGCTGAGACTACAGGGAGACCCTGTCTCAAAGACAACAAATAGCAAGCAACAAAAAAACAGCTATCAAGCACTTACCAAGACCCAAGAGCCTCAGTATTTAACAAATAGGCACACTTGGGGTCTTGTTCGCCCAGGAACCAGCTCTGGAACATTTCCCTAAACATAAGTGGGAGTACCAATTTGTATGTAGACATCAAGAACCGTGAAGAAAAATTAAAAGCAATGATTGATCAGAAATGCCACTCTACTTGAATTCATACAAACATTAAGAGGTGGATGGTTACCTAGTAGCACAATGTGTATAGTGTGTTGGTTGCTCCTCTCATTGCTGGGACAAGACACCTGACAATAGCAGCTTAAAAGAGTTTATTTTGGCACAAAGATCCAGGGTGCAGTCCATCATGGTGGGAAGGTAATGGTGGCAGGATCTTGAGGTAGCTGTCACATTTTACCCATGGGCATGAAGCAGAGAGAGTTGGTACTCAGCTTGCTTTCTCCTTTTTATTTAGTCAGCAGCTCAGCCCTTGGAATGGTACTGCACGTATATAAGGTGTGTTTTCCCACCTCAATTAACTTAATCTAGATAGTCCCTCACAGAAGTGTCCAGAGTTTTGTTTCAGCATCAACCGTCACATAGTCCAATCGAATTGGGCAACCTTACCATGCTCAACAGAGAATCCTGCTGAATCCACTTAGTGCAGATCACATTGCTATATCACCAATATGAAGCATGTGTAAGTATCTTGAGCTCAAGCTAAATTCATACCCCATCTCCCAATAATAAGCTGTCTTCTGTCTCATAAGTCATTTTTGTTAATTAAAGGTGCTCTTAAGTTTTAGTACCACATTACTATTTGTTCTTCAAATATACTAATTTACAATATTGAGTTGCAAAGTTGCTCACCAACGAAGATGCTGTCAGATGCTCAGGATTATTTCACTAACTTTTAATCTCTATTATCCATATAGTTATATATTATATGTATAATTATATCGATAGAAAATACCATTAATATTTAGATGCAAAAAAGTGATTATCTGTTTCAATCAGTAGGATCATAGTCAATTATCAACCTTTAGCTCTAGCAAGTTGAATTTAATTCCATGGTCATGGAACACAGAATTGGGGGATATTGGTTAATGGCTAAACAAGGGCTGAATATTCACCTACACTATGAGGAAAGTGGAAAAATCCTTCAAACAGCTAAGAGGTCAAGCATTCACCCAGGAGAGTCAGAATGCTTGTTTATTCTTTCTTGTGCATGGGGTCCCAGAATTAGCAACAAAATTTTCTCAAACAGAAGTACAGATGGGGGTCAAACAGGCCTTTTACATGATCATTTTATGGCTCCAGGACTCTTTACTTTGATGTGCCATGTTATCTCAAGAAAATTCATTATAGTTTACAAAGTAGGTATCACAGGCATGGGTCAGGACATCTGCTGCCTTTTGATCTAGAGTTAGGCCAGGCTAATTGGGTTAAGAGTCAGTCAAACAGTCATTGAAATCTATAAAAACAGGTATCACTGGCAGAAGTTCAGATATCTGACATATTTGGTCTACATTTTTCTTGGACTAGTTGAACCAGGTGCTTCATTAAACCATTTGGTGAGTTTTTTGTTTTCCTGGTTTCACATGTTTCAGTAGTTAGCCATGGTGAGTGGAAAACTTCAGGATATTACAGAGTAGCATGGTGGTGGCACGCCTTTAATCCCAGCACTTGGGAGGCAGGGACAGAGGGATCTCTGTGGAATGTAGACCAGCCTGGCCTACATAGTGAATTCCAGGCCAGGGGTTATAGGGAGACCCTGTCTGAAAAACAACAACAAAAAGGATAAAGAATAGAACATCACTGAACAAAGCATTACAGGGTTGCTTTTTCAAGATATCTGCCTAGTAAGACCACATATATGGGTAGAGACCAGAGGACAGTCTCAGGTGGCATCCTCAGTCAATGAGTCTTCAGGAAGAGGCTAGCTTCCTGAAGAGGCCTGTCTTTTTTGGCATAAGCACTCCTGGGACTGGGCTATCAAAGTGAGCCATAAGTCATCCCTATGGTGACTTGAAGACTTTTCAGTCTTTGAGAATGAGAACAGTCCTAAGCAATATAAACTTGTTTAGGAAAATGTCTTATTACACATTTATTTAGAAATCATTCTTTAGTAACTGTGATGGCTAATACTGTCAACTTGACAGGATCTCTCATCACCTAGGAGATAAGTCTCTGGGCATGCCTGTGAGGGAGTTTCTGGGTTAACCGATGTGGGGAAACCTACCCTGATTGTTGATGGGATGATTCCATGATCTGGGGGCCTGAACTGAGTAAAAAGGAGAAACCAAACAAAACACAGTCTGTTTCCAGACTGTGAGTATTATGTGACCAACTGCCTCAGGCTCCTCCCACCGTGACTTCCCTGCCATGATGGAGTACTCATCAAGCTGTGAGCCAGGGTAAATCATTTCTAAATTTGCTTTTGTCATGTATTTGTGACAGCAACAAGAAAAGTCACCAAAACAATAACAGTAATCAAAAGGCAAAACACACATGGAATAAGACAAAGGCTGAACACTTACATTGTGAAACCTAAGACCAAATTTACATTTTTCCATTAGCTGCCACAATCCATACAGAACTTTTTAAAATTTTTATGCTTACATGTATGCATATATTTTTGTATTTGTGTATATTCATGTGTGCAGGTGCACATGTGTACACGTGTATGTGTGGAGGCCAGAGGACAACTTCAGGTGGCATCCTAAGAAATGCCCCTTACATAACTCTTTTGGCTTTTTTTGTTGTTGTTTTTTTTGTTTTTTTATTTTTGACAGGGTCTCCCTAGTCAGCCCACCTAGAAGTCACAGAATGAACCAGGGTGGCTCTGGCTCAATCTCACAGAAATCCACCTGCTTCTGCCACCCAGTTCTGGATTATAAGCCTGCACTGTTGTGGGGTGCTTCACCAGAGAAGACCACTCAGGCAAAGTTTTCCCAAATAAAAGTCATTGCTGGCCAGGGCTACTACACAAGGGTATTGGGAACCCAAGCGTATAGCCCCAAGCCATCTCTGGGGTAAGCTTTTATCCAGAGAAACCATAACCAAGGGTGAAAACTTTAAGTTCCCAGGCTTATAGGTGGAGAATCCCCTTAACAATTTCTACTCTATTAAGTAACAATTACTATTTTTGCAGAAGCAATCCAAGCATAACCTATAGAAGCCATAAATCTGAAGTTAGCAGGTATACTCTGGGACACTCTGACCTGTTCCCAAGACAACCGGGGTCCAGCTGGTCCAACTGACATGTGTTCCCATACTCTGGGCCAACTGCCTGATAATTTCAGAACCTAGAGTCAGCCTAAACTTTAACATGGTATAGCTATTGTCAAGAAGGTGTGCTATCACACCACCACCATGCCATACTTTTTGTTTTGAGACAGGGCATCCCTGTAGCCCCAGCTGACCTGGAACTCATTATGTAGACCAGGTTGGCCTCCATCTCACAGGGATCCACCTGCCTCTGCCTTCTGAGTGCAGGGATTAAGGCACACATCATGCTTTTTTAGTTTTTTTGTTTTGTTTTGTTATTAACACTAGTTCTGAGAGCCAAACTTAGGTCATCATGCTTGTGAGGTAAACACTTTGATTAAGCCATCCCCCAAGCCCTCACAGAATTGATTTTAAATAAGCAGAGTGACCTGTATCTGTGGTTGGAGCATAATTATTAACAGCTTGCCTTTTCATTCTTAAAGTTAAATCCTGGTATGTTTAGTTATAAAACCACACTATAAATAAGGGTGTCTGAACTGTGAAAAATAAGGAGCAGTTTCAGAAATTCAAAGGAGAGTCATCAGGACTCAAAACAAATTGGATTCTGGGTTTGTAGATTGAGAAGGACCAGTTCCAACACTGATATAATTCAGAAAAGTATATGGAGGAGAAC